AAAGAGAAAAGCAGAGAGTTATCTACAAAGGAGTACCCATAAGACTATCAGCTGATTTCTCAAAAGAAATTTTGCAGGCAAGAATGGACTGGCAAGTTTTCAAAGTGATGAAAAGCAAGGACCTACAACTAAGATTACTCTATCCAGCAAAGTTATCATTTAGAATTGAAGGACAGATAAAACGCCTCCCTGATAAGGCAAAGCTAAAAGAGTTAATCAATACTAATCCCATATTATATGAAATATTAAAGGGACTTATTTAAGAAAAAAAAAGATCAAAACTATGATCATTAAAATGACAACTCAAAACTATCAACCACTGAGTCTAAAAAATGAAAACAAAAATAAGCTAAGCAAACAACTAGAACAGGAACAGAATCATAGATATGGAAATCATTTGGAGGGTTATCAATCAGCTGGGAGGGAGGAATGGGGAAAATGGGGGAAAAGTTACAGGGGTTAAGAAGCAAATTGGTAGGTACAAAATAGACAGGGGGGGTGTTAAGAATAGTTTAAGAAATTTAGAAGCCAAAGAACTTATATATGACCAATGGACGTGAACTAAGGGGTGAGGGGATTGCTAGAGGGAAGGGAATACCAAGTGGATGGGGCAAGGGGGTAAAAATTGGGACAACTGTAATAGCCTAATCAACAGAATATACTTAAAAAAATGATGTTTCAGTGAATGGTGGAGCTATATACTGCTGATTACTCACACAGGAAGTCCAATGGTTATTGAGCACTGGTTAATGAGAAAAGCCACCCAAACCTCAGTGAGGAGTTCCCAGAAACAGATTGATAATAGAAATAGCCACAGCACCACAGCCTCTGCTCAGGAAACTCTCAAAAGGTCAGAAGTTAAGCCTTGATAATCTAGTATGCGCCAGTTAGGTGAAAGGGTGTGGCAACAGCATTCCAGAAAAAGTGTAGGAATAAAAGCCAGTGCACATGACATAGTATACTGTGAGAGGAAATGACATGTGGGCACCTAATGAGCACACAGACCTGGGGCAACTGGCTGGGAGGGTGCTCCAGACTGCAGGCCACTCAATGCTTGAGGGGGGGTGTAGGCAACAGGAACTCATAACTGGCAGCAACAGAAGTAAAATAGGCTAGGGTGCTGGATGCTCTTTCTTGGCTTGTAGAGAGAAGGAATTTGGAGAACAGCATATGTGGGGGATGTCTTAATGTTAATAACACACTGACTCTCAACTTCAAGGTCAATATCATTTTTTTAAAGAAAAAGATAGCCACAGCACGTTAACAAACTACCCAAGTTAATGTGACTTTGAGGTCATGTCAGCTGAATTCAGCAATGAGACTGAGTATCCTGCCAAGAACATGGTCTATAGCGTTGGAGACAATGAGAAAAGGCTTCAGCAGGAAATGTCCTTCCAGTTCTAGGGTCTTTTTATAAGCCTGAAAATAACTAATTTATGAGAATTTGTGGTCTCTAGAATCAGAATTCTACAATTTTTATTGATTTTGACTGCTAGTTAGAAATATTAAAATGTCTTACATAGTATCTTTGGCTAGAATTTTCCTCAAAATAGACATGTTCCTGAAAAATAGAAGGCTAAAAATAATCCAAAAAGAATAAATCCCAATAAGTGTGCCAACAAATATCTGTAAATACTAATTTTAAGTTTTATAGGCAGAGTCTGACACAGTCTAATTCAACAAAGTCTGAGTGCCCCCTGATGGTTAACCAGGGGCCCTGCAACAAATGACATTTTTTAGCTCCCTGGGGTCAATTTCTTAACTAACCTCTTCCCTTCAGATAATCAAGAAAATTTGGTCTTTTGTGCTCTGTGTAGAAAAAGTAAAATATACTAGTTTGTGATGAAAAGCATGTGGATTATTTAGGAAGCTGCAGGTTTGCTAAGCAAGAGATGGAGAAGGAGGTCTTTCATATGAGAACCTAAAGCACATCAAGAAAACCTCATTTTTATTTCTTTGTGATCTTCACATCATCCCAAGGGGAAATGACCTGTCACGAAGAAAAATACCACAGCCCCACCAAACATCAGCTGCAGCCTGGCGCCCTCCGCTGGCTACTCCTATGGCTGCAGGGCTGGCATAGAAGGCCACCCAAGGAGGCCTCCCAGGGTGCCTGCAATGGCTGGGTGAACTTGGCTATCTTTCCCCCAGGCAATTATGTTGTAAGCACACATCCATTTCTTTTGATAAAACGTTTCTTTCTTTCTTTTGGTAAAATGTTATCTTGATCCAGCCAGTAAACTGAATTTACACGACAGGTTGTTAAAATATACTCTCCAGAAAGGATCCGGGAGAGTGAAAATCGTTTCCTGGGGAAGGTAAAGCAAGACAGTGTTTTCAGAGGAGAGGAAGCTCTGGCATGCACCCCTGAACAAAAGAGAACAAGTGGTCTTTACTCGGAGAACGGCTTCCTATTAGGACTCACTCCTTCGTACATTATGCCTTTCATCCCCACTCAACCACAAAATGATTTTGCTGAAGCAAATTCAATGGTAGAAAAAGATTTACCCTGAAAGAATCTTTAATAATAAACTGTTGCCAATCTGCCTACTTGCCTGTGATTTACTAGTATAATACAATAAACATCAGATTCTATTACGGCTCATGCACTGAAGCTGCTGCTCTGAAAAACATAATATGAAAGTATCCGGACCCTACCACATCACAATGAAATGAGCATGTATAAATGTGCTAAGAGTATCTCTTTGCATCTTTTATAGCTTGTGTGTATTAATCTGTAACGCTTATTAAGAAAACCATTGCTATGCAAAGCAGCACCCAATCCCTTTCTCTGGCTTTTCAACAGAGTATACTGTTTAGCCAATAGGATGGACCCTCTGGCCCTCATTCTGCATTCATTGCAGGCAACATTTGCACAATGTATCTCTCAAAGGCAGCTGAAAAGAAGGCCTTAATACTCATGTAAACAACTGCAAACCAATTACTTAATGAATCAGGCCCACACATAATGAGGTGCAGACAAAGAGCTATAAATGTAGTTTTGCACCCAAGCCGCTGCTTTAAAGTAAAATCCCTCAGCTGTAGTTTGGGCTTAACTAGCACATCATAATTATTGTTTCTGGGACATCAGAGGAAGCCATTTTTTTCTTAAGGTCTAGCAGGGTCTTTTTTTTTTTTTTTTTTAAGGTTGCTCATCAGCTCACTGACAAAAAAGAGTGAAGAAGAATTTTTAAAAGTGCTACAGCAGCACTGGCACTGTTATGTTTATTCTCAAGTACTGGTTTTGAGACCACTTGTAAAAGCAATAAAGCATGAGGAGTGACTGCAGTAAGTGGGATCTTTAAATGTAAGCCTCTAAATAATTTCAGTGAATCCAGGCACAAACAGCAAAACTGGAGCTCTCCAAAGCCCAAGGTGGTATATTAACAAAACCAAACCCAGCATAAGAACAAAACCAGATAAAACCAAACCCACTTACTGGGCTCCCAGACCTTTTCCTCACTGGATTAGAATCAAAGCTTCTTCGAGACTTTTTTTTCTTAAGGTGATATGATTATTTGTAATTTATTTAAGAAATTAATTTCATGCACAAACAACAGTAGTAACAAAAAGGCCCCTGCCTCAAACTGAAGAAGAAAAAAGTTTGATTTTATAATGAAATGCAGATGTAAGATGTGAAATGATCAGGCTGAGAAAAAATGCTGTACAGAATCCAACAGCTTTCTGAATATATTTTAAAAATATTTGAAGAATATATATAAAGGTTATGAAGTATTGTTTTTAATGCCTCTAAAATATAATAAAAACATTTCTAACCATCTATAAAAACTAAATGTATGCATATGCCAACTGGTAACAGTAAGCCCTAAAAAATACCTGTAGAATTTATTGTCTTTTAAAATTTATTTTAGAAGACCTAGAACTTGCAGTTATAGTATAATTATAAAAATATAATACCATAATACTCTTCCTGACCCATAATTTATCTTTCACTTTCTTCAAAGCCATGGATGAGAACCCAGGTATTAAAGATAATAACTTCTCATAATTAAATAAGTAATTCCTAAAACTGAACTTATCAGATTTCTAAAAGAATTCAATTTCAGAAAAATCACTATTATTTAAAAATATCCCAGGTCCTAAAAATATTGCAATGTTTTTCAAAATAGAAACAAAAAAGCATTTTAAAAATACTGTATTTCTGGATCAAATCATTTAATCTTTTAGGATACTAGAAATGTAAAGTTCCTGTTTTAAATTTTCAATGGGGTAATAAGCAGTTAATTCAAATGTACTGCAATCATCAGAAGGACTTTTTAATATGAGAAATGTTACTAAGAAAAGGAAACTTGTCCTGTTTTAAATTATATTTATCCCAAATCAGAAAATGTAGGCATTTCATAAGACGATTGCTTCTTTTCCCATCTATAAATTCTTCCTAAGTGACTCAATGTCACAGCATCATTAGTATTGAATGCTGATGACAAATCCAGCATAGAACTCATTTATCATTGCTTGAAAAATGTACAAGAAGTGCTACAGTTTAACAAATGTGAAAAAATAAGTTTTGTTCCTTACAGGAAAATAAGCAAGAAAGTATCTAACCCCAATACTTAGTACAAAGAGGGAGTACAAAAACAAATATCCAGCAATTGTTGGCATGTATATCAGCTGCCTCAGAAAGAAAAAACAGGCCACTTTATTTCCTTTAAGGTTTGATGTTTTCTCTTTGCCCTTTTCCATTGTGTGGCCTCTAAGCAGTCCTAGTGAGAGCAGCTGTAGACACTAATTTGTGGTTCACTGAGGTGTCAATTGAGTCTTAAACCAAGGAAACAACAGCTGCAAAACATAATAGGCTCTGGTGCAAATATTTTCAAATGTAGACTAAAGTTTCAACAGTTAGTTTAGATAAACAAAACCCCCAAACTATAACATTCTATCACATCACACAACAAAATAACGTAGCTAAAGTCTGATTCACTGTGCAGTGACATTTCTCTTCTTGTTGCCACTATTCAGAACGGGTTTCATGACTTTACCTTGACAAAGGATTTCCTTCGCTAGAGGAAAAACTAGCTTCTGAAGTAATTTTGTTAGTTGTCTTTGTCTTCAATGTACTGCTACCAATGTTCAAACCTGTGACAAGTACAAACAGGAGATGTTAGCCACCATGCAGCAATGATTGCAATGAAGAAGAGACCTCACAGTAACTTTAATAAAACAAATAGCAACAGAGGAAGATGCTGTTCAAGCCACAGAAAGCAAGGAGCTTCTGAGGCAAGGAATAACATGTTGGTATGTATGTATATTATGTATGTACATATGTATGTATTCATTTATTCTTCATCTGAGGATATGTCTGATTTTAGAAGGAGAGGAAGATAGAGAGAGAACATCTACTGGTTGCCTCTTATATGCACTCCAAACAGGGACTGAACCTCCAACCTAGGTTATGTGCCCTACCTGGGAATCAAACCTGCAACCTTTTGGTGTATGGGATAATACTTCAATTAACTAAGCCACCTGGCCAGGGCTCAAAGAGCACCATTTTAAATGGCCAAGATGCATGTGTAAACACATGGGCCTTAATACAGCATCAAGCTACGATAATGGGTGCCAGGAACCAAGTGTCAAAATAACTGATGCTCCTGGATGATGGTTGCTCACACTGAAATGGGGTGCAGAGTCTGAGGTCTCCAAAGTCCCCGCAGCCCTTGGTTGGGGGGAGAGTGGATGATATGGTTTAAGATACTCCTCATAACAATGGCAAGTGGATAGCCATGTCCTTCCTGAGTGCTACCACCTGGGTAAAAGGTCTAAGTGACTTTTAGAACATGTAGTGCCTAATATGAGGTCATGTAGGAAGCTCTCAGTCAGCATTTTAAAATAGGGGGCTGGTCTGCCATAAAGGAGAGAGAGTAAAGGGGAGTCACAATGTAGTAGCCATGAAGTTTGAAAGGGTGTAGAAGGGCCCCCACAGGTCCACCATAAGGCCTGATGTATAAGGAGGTGCCACATGGTTTGGGATTAAGAGCTGGGGTAAGAAAGAGGAGACCCACTGGGAAACCTGGCTGGAGAACACAGGGGCACAGCTGAGGAGCTGGAAATTGTGGTACCTGCCTAAACAAGTATGGATTAGTGGGAGAAGCCTGGGATGCTGAACTGTGGCTGGGAATGCTGAGCCATGGACTTCTGCGTTTTTGAAAGATGGTACCTCTGACTGGCATAGTCTGAAACTGGCCGGGGTTGGAAAAGGGGGGCAGAATTATGTGTTTTGGTATGTTTTAAAGGGAGTGGGATTTAACATCACAAATCCGCCATCATTCTGAATCTGTACAACCTTTAAATAAACAACCCCTTTCCTTTTTCACCAAACTTTCTGCATTGGGAGTTACACTTCTTGGTGGTAGGCAATCGAACCCCACAGCTGTTCCAGAACAGCATAGGCAGGGTTCTGTAACACCACCACCCACCTTTAAGTCTCTCTGCCAAATCTCCTTTTTCCATCTTGCAGAGGTGACTGAATCTCCACTGAAAAACTTCAAGGGCACCCCTTAACCAGCCTGAAAATGCTGATTGAGAAGATGCCCAATGCACCTCTTTCCCTGGAGTTGGGGGAACTCCATGGTGCCCTCAGCTTTCAGAAAAATTCCTGACCTGTGCATCCTGAGAATCCTCAGACTTGGATGTGTCTGTTATAAATGTGATTCTTAAGTGTCAACTGCCCAAGATCACAGATAGACAGTGCATGGGCATCTCAGCAAAAGTCATTGGCCTAGTTTCCAACCTGTAATCTGCTTGCCTGCATTTATAACCTCTGCAGCGGCGTGATTCTCCTGATAACTCAGCTTGAGCAGGGTCAGCATTTGCTTTATAGGCCCAGGCAATTATAGATATGAAAAAAAGGCACAAGGTTTAAGTGGCTTTTCTGAGAGATAGGTCCAGAGACAAAGACCTAAGACATCTGATGTAGAAAGTAACTGAAATATGCACTTCTTCAATAGTTAGAATTGGGGGTGGCTTCTGAGTTCAGAGTGCACATCCCCACCACTACCTGGAATAGTGCTATGAATTTTAACACTGGAACTTGGCTTCCATATCCCTCTGCCCTCCCAGCCTCCCTTCCTGCTTCTTTCTGGAGCTCAGAGAAGTCCTTAGTATCCAAGTAAGAATGAGAATGAAAAAGTAATGCATGATCAAATGTAAAATAAATACTAAAGGTAGTATCTAACAATGACAGCTAACAGTATTAGAAGCACTTCTAAGATGCTAATGATGGAAAATTTAGAATCTTGCAAAGCACGCAGTGTAATTTAGAGTATGGAGTGAGCAAACTGAATCTAGGGGTGTTTTACTATAAAACCTATAAAGTATCACTTCCCTTATGAATAAATTAAAAAAATATGTTAATGATTAATATTAATAGTACTATAATCTTAATACACATCCAATGGATTAAAACTTATATCAAATGTACTTATCCTTTGAACATGTCCAATTAACTATCCAAAAATACACTTACCAAAACATATTTGTGGAGTCACCTTCCAAACTATGTATGTCTGCTAACCAGCTATAATGCTTAATAAGAGACATTACTCTGTTGTGACCTCACTTGTAAAATGAAGGGTTTGGATACGTACTTTCTAAGATCCCTCTGGGTTCTAATTCTGTCACTCAAGTAAAGAAGGTGATGAAAAGGAAACATTTAAGAGCTCACAAGTGCTGTATCTCTCCAAAGTGATGAAGACTTCCATTAGGGGCAGAGGCGCTGTTTTATACCTCAACAAACTATAACATCTCATGTTTGTGGTGTTCAAATAACCACCATCACCAACACAGCCAGCCCTCCCAAGAGGTCTTTCACTAACAGGCATACTGCTTGGTATTTAACCTTCAGTGGCTCACTGAATTCTCAAAACCACCAAAATAAATTAAGTTTTCAGCAACTAATCCTAACACTAATATTATCTAGGAAATAGCTCTTCAAAGATAAGTCTGATGCACCATAAGTATATCCCTCAAAAAAATGTTTGTCTGGTGAATATAACTTTGAGGCAACTGGGAAATCTGAGTATGGACAGGGCATTACGTGATATTAAGAAATCATTATTTATTCTCATAGGTGAAATTATGGCATGGTGAAATTATGTAAAAGTAACATTGACGTTTACACCCCTCTGTATTAATTCATTTGCTTTCACAAATGGAACTGAGGTGCTATACTAAGAAAAGGGTGTAATAACATAAAAACCACTGAAAATAATAAAAACATAATAAACTATAAAAAACAGAAAATTACACTTAAACTTTCTAGACTAAAGAAAATACATGAAAGCCTAAAACTAGTTCTTACCACCCCAAACCCCAAAATTCTGGTGAGAGAGGATAGCCTAAGATGATGGTCCTCATTGATGAATAAGAAGTTGGAGGATATGCCCTGGCAGGCGTGGCTCAGTTGGTTGGGTGTCATCCCACAAACTGAAAGGTTGATGATTCAATTCCTGGCCAGGGCGCACACCTGGGTTTTGGGCTGTGTGCTCCATACCCCATTGTGGCACTTGCAGAAGACAACCAATCAACATTTCTCTCTCTCTTCCTCTCTACCTTCCTCTCTCTCTAAAATTTAAAACAAATTAAAAAAAAGAAATTGGTAGATGTGATAAGAAAAGTAATTTGAAGTATGTTCTGTGGTATTTAGTGACAAGTTAGTATCATGATACACACAGGTAGAATCCAAGCCTTGCGGGGCCAGCACATATGCAGGAGGGAAGACTTTTCCAAACTCTCGTTCATTAATGATTAAAAAAGTACTGGTTCATTCTGACCCAGTGACAATGTTACAAACCAAACTCCAGAAACCTTCAAAGAATGATCACTCTTCCCTGAACACAGCACTGGCCACTACCCTGCGTCTCCTAGACACTGATTTCAAGTGCTGAATCCTCCCTTGCTTACCTGACAGTTGTGATGCAGAAGCATCCTTTTGGAATCTGTCTTCAGTTTGATTTGTATTATATTCAAGGGTAGACTGCTTCAGCAACTGGTAGCCTTTTGTTTCTATAGATTACAAAAAATAAAAGGCAAAGATAATCGGATAGCTACATGCAAAAAGAAAAGAAGTTGGACCCTTACATCATACAGAAAAGTCAACTCAAATGTGATTAAAGACTTAAATCTAAAACCTGAAATTATTAAATTTTTAGAAGATAACAAACAATAAAATCTTCGAGACTTTTGATTTGGCAATGATTTCTTGGATGACCAAAAAGCACAGTTAACAAGATATAAAACAGACAAATAGGACTACATTAAACTTAAAATTTTTGTGTGTCAAAGGAAACAACAGAGTGAAAAGGCAAAATATGCAATGGAAGAAAACAATTAAAATCATATATTTGATAAGGGGTTAATATCCAGAACCTATAAGGAACTTATATAACTTGACAACAACAAAAAATAAATAACCTTTATTAAACTGGGAAAGGACTTAAATAGACATTTTGCCAAAGAAGATATATAAATGACCAATAAGCACATGAAAAGATGCTCAAAATCACTAATTATTAGGGAAATGTAGACCAAAACCACAATGAGCTATCACCTCACACCTGTCAGAATGGCCACTATAAAAAAATACCAGAAAATTAATAAGAGTGTTGTTAAAGATGTGAGTAATTTGGAACCCTTGTGCACTGTTAGTTGGTATGTTAAATGGTACAGCTACTATGGAAAATAATATGGAGCCTCCTCAACAAATTAAAAATAGAATTACCATATGATCCAACAATTCCACTTCTAGTTATACATCCACAAAAACTGAAAACAGGATCTCAAAGAGTTATTAGAACACCTTTGTTTCTCACAGCATTATTCATTATAGCCAAGAGGTAGAAGCAACCCAAACATCCATCAATAGTTGAATGGATAAAGAATATCTGGCATACACATACAATATTGTGCAGCTTTAAAAAGAAGGAAATTCTATTATATACTACAGCATGAATAAACCTTAAGGACATTATACTAAGTGAAATGAGCCAAATATTATATGATTCCACTTATATGAAGTATCAAAAGTGGTCAAAATGATAGAAACAGAAAGGGAAAAGTGATTACTAAAGGCTGAGTGAGAAGGGGGAGGGGTATTAGTGTTTAGTGGGTAAAGTACTTCAATATTGCAAGATGAAAAAGTTCTAGAGATCTGCTGAACAACATGAATATATTTAATACTGCTTACTGTATACTTAAAATGGTTAAGATGGTAAATTTAATGTTACATATTTTTTACATAATTTTTAAAAAGTAGTAAACAGATATCCCAATTTGTCCATGACAATTCAGGTTTATGTCTGTTGTTTCAGTAAAATTATTAATAGAATCCATTTCTGTTATTAAAGTTTCCTAATTTATATAATAAATGATATGGTTGCCCTACTTAGGAGACATACAAGGTCTGTCCATTAGGTATCCAGCCATGTAATATGAATAATAGAGACATTCACTGAAGAAGATACCAGAAACATTGTACATAGGACAATGATACCTCAGTTCTCTTCAAAGTAGGTACCTTGGGACCTCTCAAAGTTCTCCCAGTTGCCATCAGCTGTCCCATTGCATTTTCCTGAATCTCAAGGATGGTCTGAAATCTCTTCCCTTTCAAAGGTGAATTTAGTTTTGGGAAAAGGCAGAAGTGGCAGGGCACCAAATCTGTGCTGTAGTGGGGCTGATTTGATGTTTTACAAAAAAACTCTGCATAAAATATGATGCATGAACAGGCACATTGTTGTGATGAAGCTGCCAATCACCAGCTGCCCATAGTTGCAGGCCTTCTGAATCATTTGAATAGTTCCACGGAGGGATGTTCAAGCATAACTCAAAATTTGATGCAGATTCATTGCTGTACTCAATCATTTTGAAAGCAATGGCCACGCAGTCCACATCCTCACTCTGTGGCATCTACTGTACCCAATGACAAGTACAGTGAAACCATCATTGTTCACACATATACTTTCCAGTCCACTCACCTTGGCTGCCAGGTTACACTGATGTTGCACAAACCACTTTCACTATATGAACCATGGCTGGACTTTCTCTGGACAGACATCCCATATAAACCAAATGCAACGCAGTGGCATAGTTGGGCATAGTGGGCATAGCTGGCATGGTTGGATTTTTTTTAAAACATGGTAAAAATACTTGAACACTGATTGTATATTTCATGATACTGATAAATTATTATTAATTGTTTTAGGTGTGAGAAAATACACAGAAATACTAAATTTTCTACTACCTAGAGAGAATTTTCTTAAATTCTTCCTACTTTTCCAATGCATGAAGATTATTCTTTGAATTGTCCCTTTTTAGATACTGTGAAAACAAACAAAAAACAATTTAGTTGAACCTAGTTTTCAAGACTCAAAGACAGGTTGTGTGTTTATCTGAGGTGGCCAAATTGTAGTCATTATTTTGAGTGGGTCTGTGGATAGGCTCAACTCATGGAAAAATGGTATCTCTCCACTCTAGGCCTTGCAGCAGCCACTGTAGGAAGGAACCAGAAAGAAACAGTACTAAAAACTTTGGTCCATCCTCTGTTCACTTCAAAGCACTCCCTCCTCTGTTTCTCAGGCTCTCATATTTGAGTGCAGGTGTCCAAGGCTGGATGAATGGTAGGAGCATCACAAAGAATAATAATAGCAGCAGGATGAGCTCAGAGCAGGATGAGCTGAGAACGGAGAGAACATATGCAGGGAGCAAAGTCAGGTGCACCAAAGGGATTAACAGCAGCCTGACCTGGCTCATATCCACAGCACACCCCAAGCCCTGCAGAGCTTCTAATAGCATGTATTGTAAGTTAAGGTGGGAAAGATTGTTGGGAAAAACAATAAATAAAGATCACATATGTAAGGCACCCAAGTAACACTACATTGCCTGTTACCTCAAGTCTCAAGGATACCTGGATAATATGGAGAATGGAGAATTAGAGTGTTAGAACAGACATAACAAAACAGTATCCATGTTTACATCTTCAGTGTGGCTATAGATAGAAGGTTCCTGCTCTTATGTTAGCACCAGGGGCTGGCAATCACCTTCCTGCTTCTGCTGACTCAACTTAAGAACTTAACCACAAGGCCTTATTATTGGATTAAAACTATCATCAGAACAAAGAATAAAAAATATAACTTATCTTGCCTTACTGAGAATCAATCAAGAAAAAAGTATTTAAAATGAGCACATTTTAGAGCATGAAATGTCATGTAATTAAAATATGCACAGGCAGGGCTCTTAATTCTGAAAATAATAAATGCTAAGGTAATACTTTTTAACATTGCTAGATTGTGAAGTCAGTTTGGCACACTGGAAGTAGTATTTAGAAAAAGTTAATAAACAAAACACATGATGTAGCGCATGCAGAGGGAAAGGTATTGTGTTGTATAACTTCTGGCAGTGTCTGTTGAGTATTGGCCTGGAGAGAAAGTGTTTCTTGGTGTAGTTTAGTCCCAGCATCTTAGAATGGCTCCAACAGGGTGGCATCGTAACACTCTCCAACTAATCCTAATATCTATTTTACTTCAGATTTTCTGTAAGATAAATTGAAGGGGGCATTAATAAAATCAAAGACACTGTGTCTGATTTCTTAAAAGGTACAGAATCATTACAAAAAGGTGGAAATACTCTGTTTTGTTTTTATTTTATGCAGGTCAACCAAAAAGTTATTCAGCTTTTAGGATACAAGTCCTAAATGACCCTATGCTATTTTTGTATACAATTATACTTATTTGCTCAAGGGAAAGTAGCAAAGATAGAAACTCATATTTAAAAAAAAAGAAAAAAAGTTGTTTATTAATAAACATTCCTGGTGGCTGGAAGCCAGAATTGGGGGTTCCTCTTGTCTACTGTTCTAAGATAAATCACTTGACTTTAGTGAGTTGGCTCTCATACTTCTCAGAATCAGGAAAATGTGCTATGAGGGGGAACACAAGAAACCCTGGAATTTATTTATAAAAATTGTATATTCATTCTCACATGTTTAAACTTCAGTCACCTTCAAAGTATTCTCCATTTGATGCAATACACCTATGGAGATGTTCTTTCTACTGCTCCAATAAGTTTCTAGACTCATCAATTTTGGTGCCCTTTTAGTGACTCTTTTTGTTTTACCTCTTCCACAACAGCAAGACTCTTTTTATTCAGGGAAACAAACAAAAAAAGTCGCTTGGGGTGAGACTGGGTGACTAGGGAGGGTGAAGCATGGGGGTCATGCTGCTTTTTGGTCAAAAACTGCTGAACACGCAGCATGGTGTGGGCAGGTGTGTTCATACATTGCCCATCATAAAATGGGCAAATGTGTTTAATCTTCAAAAAAAATTCATTGATCCCAAACACAGCCTCTCACAACAACCAGCCACCTGGTACACTGATACATATGGGTTGCCCTAGAACACTCATCTAGCAGGGGGAAGCCTGCACTACAAAGGGGCCTACACTCCAGAAGATAATTACGGGTTTTTTTTGGGGGGGGTCCCACTTCATTTATTTTAAAGAGGGATTTTTTGTGAAAAAATATCAAGCTAGTAGTTGCAACATTTCAGATTTAGGGGGATTAAGTATTTTGTCCAAATACAACACAGAACTGATGTTTTTACTGGAAGGAAGAAATGTGAATGGATTCTTAGCAGCAAGGGACCACTTTACTATTCTGGAAAAGACAGGCCATTCCCATGTTCCACAGGGTTTCCATTCTGGTTCCCTTCCTTATTTAAGGGCTTGGACTAATTGGGCTGTGGGCTTTCCCTTCAATACTGTCTGAACCTGCTTTCAACTGTACAGCAGTACTGGAGTGAGACAGTTCGTTTCTCCTACCCCATGCAACTAGAGCACACCCCCTTTTGAACCATGCCTCCTCACTGGTATTTGATTCTTAAACCTGTGGTCCTTTTCTAAGTGGACAGTCACTGAAACCAACATGGACAATTTTTATCTGAGATGTAGCGGCCCTGACACAAGTAATAAAAGTTTGGTAAAATTAATACTGGGGACTGCTGGGCATCTATCCCCTT